ACAGTATAGCTTCAAGATTAGCACTTGACTTCATTGATAGATTTAAGAACTCAGTATATTTACATCCTTAGTTATTTGAAAAACCCATTGGCATTCAGCAGGAATTCAGAACACAGCTGGAAGATGACTCAAGCAAGAGAAAGTATCTTGCAATGAAAGATTTTAAGAACTTAAGATGCTAATATTCAAAGGGAAAAATTGTGGTGTCTTGCTTAAAACTTGTGTGTGCACCTGCATGGTGGATGCTGCAGAGCTCTGTAATCTTCCAAAACAAAGCATGAGAGCCAGTGGCCAGAGGCCACAGTGAAATTTGGTTTATTTGAAATTTAAATATGTTTGAACAATGGAGTGATTAAGTATGAAAACAGCCTGTCAGTGGCAGCGTGTTTCCTGATGGATATCAGCTCTGCTCCAAAAACATCCCCACGGAAATTAGCTCAGTACAGTTACAGGGTTAATTACACATGGAAGTGGGTGAAATGTAAAGACCTGTTCCATGAGAACCAGAGGAGATGATCCCTTTGTCCCCTCTGGCCTTGAAGGGGTGAACAAATCAATTAAACACAATTTCTGTTGCCAGCTGGAAACAGTTCTGCTAAATTTGGAGAAACAAGAGGAAGATGATTCTGATTAGAACCTGATTAGTGGATCCCAGGTGTTTCAAAGGCTGGATGAGTTGTGCTTTTCCAAGTGCTGCACATTGTGGTGCTGAATTGACCTGAAAATGCAGAAATATCTAAGTGATGCTTTCAGGAGTCACCACAAGCTCGTGCTCAGGCAGAAGGGGAGACAGAGCAGTTTTTATTCACCTTTTACATCCTCTGGGCAGGCCTGAATAAGTGATATTGTTAACACAGACAACGTTCAGACCCTGCCTGTCCTCTTTTCCAGCAGCACTGCTCAAATCACACTCATTTTTTAGAGCATCTTTTTCTCTTCCCCCCCTGGTAACACTGGTTTATTTGTTTCCTGCTTCTCCTTATCTTTGCAAACGTGGCTCCACAGAGGTTCTCACAAGGTCTGACGTGTTTGTCCCCCTGTCCTCACACCAGGAGGTTTTTAACCACTTCAGGTTACCAAACCCATTTTGCTATTTCACTTTACCTGGAAGCAAATTAATGTAAGCTCAGGTATAATTGGATAAATGGAATTTAATAGCTTTTTGCAGGCATTTGACATAACTCTAGAGAGTTCCAAGCAAAATTCCTCACCTCACCATGACCTGTAGTCTAACCTAGATTCTCTGGAGTATTACAGCTTTGTATTTTACAGCTTGACTCCATTGAGTGTGGGAACTGACTGAGAAAAGGTCTGGCAGTTCTTTTCTCTATCCATTATTTAGTGACCTGCCTTAGCATGAAAGAAGGTCATGGAAAACTGTCTTTGTGGTAGTGCTCTATTTTTTCATAGAACTTTCAGAAACCTTGTAATAATTTTTTCCCCCGTTTCTTTTAGAAATTGATGTTTTTTATTTTAGTCCTTCATGCAGTACTGGGAAGTAGATCTGCTGGCAAATGCAGCTAGTTTTGTGTTTTGGGGTTGGGTTTTTTACCCTTTTTTTGCTGTAATTCTCACAATTTTAAAAAATAATTTTCCTGTAACAGATGCTATACTCTGTAAGTACAATTCTTTTTTTTTCATATTGGTTGGAACAGTTGAGTTTAATCATGTCAGGATCTTTCTTTCCATTTATGGCATTATTAAATCTGTATATGTATAGCAACTTCTATAATGAAAAGCCTTTACCACACTGTCTTGTACAGTAACACCTCACATTATACTACCAAGGAAATAAATTATTATTATTATTATTATTATTATTATTAT